TTAAGCTATTTTGAATGTATGCCAAAGAGCACCTCACCTGAATCAGGTGTATTTCATCAATTAGAATTACACAATATACAAGGTGACTCTGGGACAAAGTGGAGTCCCCATGCTCCAATGTGAGCAAAGTTTTCACTTATTAACATCAATTTCCCTAGAAAGTACATACCTGTGAAGTAATATGAGAATCAGCTATGGAAACGTTGGAGGAAGTCGTAAAGAAGCTCACTCACATTAAGTATTTACCGTTTCCCAAAGAAGAATAAGCCTTGTGAAATTTCTGCTTCTAGCCAACGTAGAGTAACAGACCAATTTATCCTTCTACCTCAAACAGCTTAAAAATGAGCAAAATATATAAAACAATGACTTGCAGGACTTGAAGGACAGTGATCCCTAAGTGGAGAGGTGTGCCCTATGATTACTCCAGTTTACTTCCTTGAGAGTTTTCAGGCCTGGCATAAGGAGAGCCCAGCTGACTTCCAGCTGCTCATGCGGAGGTGTTTTACTGATGCTCTCTACTACAAAACTGACTGAGGGAAGTGCCAGGGGAAGCTAAGGTAGATAGGTGCTGCCACCACCATGCACTGCAAAAGATGGCAGTGGAGAAGGTGTGAACATGGCAGGAGCCTGGAGCCAAAGAATCCATCTGCATTACAAGATTTGGGCATTGTGGCAGCCTGGCCACTTGTTTTACATGAGTCAGATGATAGGAAAGCTCTCTGTGCTACCAGGCACTGGGAGAGCTACAGGGCTTGCAAAACCCACACTCTGGGGACACTACATGCACTTCAGGAACCACAAACAAGCCTCTTGCACCACAAAAACCTGGCACTACATAAGCCTTCTGCATCGCAAGAGCATGTTTTTGCAAGCAGGCTGAAGGGAGAAAGAAAACCCCTTTCTCCTGCAAAGTGTCCCTAGCGCCTCTATTGACAAAACGAAGCATGTTTCCTGTAAGCAAAGAGAAAACCTATTAAGGGTCCATTAATTTTCTCAGAGCAGGTGGTAAAGAGTGAATTGGCACTGAGAGGCAATGAACTGATTTTAGATAGACATTGACACAGTGATTATAAGTCTCATGTGGAAATTCAAAGGGTCTACCACAGCCAAAACAACTATGGAAAGGAACAAAGTTAGAGGACTAACATTACTTGATCTCAGAACTATTATAAAGCTACTGTAATCAAGACAGTGTGATATTGTCTTCAAAGTAGACCAAATAGATCAATAGAACAGAATTGTGAATCCAGAAATAGACTCACATGGATAAGGACAATTAAATTTCAAAAAAATTTTCAAGGTAATTCTGTGGACAGTCTTCTCAAAAAAAAATGGTGCGGAAACAACTGGATAGTCATATCCACACAAACACACACACACACACACACACACACAAAATGAACTGAGATTCATACTCGACACTGTATATATTGTAAGACTAAAATAGGTGAAAATGGGTATTGAAGCTAAATGTAAAACCAAAGATTTTTTTAAACTTCTAGAAGAAAATATAAATGAGCCAGTTGCAGTGACTTATGCCTGTAATCCCAGCATTTTGGAAGGCCAAGGCACGAGGATTGCTTAAGGCCAGGAGTTTAAGACTGCAGTGAGCTCTGATTGCAACACTGCACTCCAGTCTGGGTGACAGAGAAAGACCCTCTCTCAAAAAAAGGAAAAAAAAAAAAAAGAAAGAAAAGAAAATAACAAATGAAACTTTTGTGACCTTGGGTTTGGCAAAGATTTCTTAACTAAGACACCAAAAGAATGACTGGATTAGATATAATCCATAAAAGAATAAACTGATGAATTAAAAACTTCTGCTCTTCATAATAGAACAATTTATAATCCTTTGGGTACAAACCCAGTAATGGGATTGCTGAGTCAAATGGTTTTTCTGTTTCTAGATCCTTGAGGAATCACCACCCTGTCTTCCACAATGGTTGAACTAATTTACACTCTCACCAGAAGTGTACAAGCATTCCTATTTCTCCATATCCTCACCAGCATCTGTTGTCTCCAGATTTTTTAACGATCGCCATTCTAACTGGTGTGAGATGGTATCTCAATGTGGTTTTGATTTGCATTGCTCTAATGACCAGTGATGATGAGCATTTTTTCATATGTTTGTTGGATGCATAAATGTCTTCTTTTGAAAAGTGTCTGTTCATATCCTTTGCCCACTTTTTAATGTGGTTGTTTGCTTTTTTCTTGTAAATTTGTTTTAGGTCTTTCTTAGATTTTTGAGATTAGCCCTTTGTCAGATAGGTAGATTGCAAATATTTTTTCCCATTCTGTTGATTGCTGATTCACTCTAATGATTGTTTCTTTTGCTGTGCAGAAGCTCTTAAGTTTAATTAGATCCCATTTGTCTATTATAAAGACACATGCACACGTGTGTTCATTGCAGCACTGTTCACAATAGCAAAGACTTGGAACGAATCCAAATGCCTATCAACAACAGACTGGATAAAGAAAATGTGGCATATATACACCATGGAATACTATGCAGTCATAAAAAAGGATGAGTTCATGTCCTTTGCAGGGACATGGATGAAACTGGAAACCATCATTCTCAGCAAACTGACACAAGAACAGAAAACCAAACACTTCATGTTCTCATTCATAAGTGGGTGTTGAACAATGAGAACACATGGACACAGGGAGGGGAACATCACACACTGGGGCCTGTTGGGAGAGATAGCAGGGGGTGGGGGATTGGAGAGGGATAGCATTAGGAGAAATACCTAATGTAGGTGACAGGGGGGTGGATGCAGCAAACCACAATGGCATGTGTAACAATCCTGCACAATCTACACATGTACCCCAGAACTTAAAGTATAATAATAAAAAAAAAAACTTCTGCTCTTCAAATGTGATTTTAAGAGAAAGAAAAAACAAAACAAGCCACAGACTGGGCTGCAAATTATATATCTGATAAATGACATGCCCAGAATGTATAAAGAAACCTTAACATTCAATGAGAGAACAAACAATTCTATTTGAAAACTTGGCAGACAGTTTAAGCAGACATTTTGCCAAAGAAGATAACTGATGACAAGCATATAAAAGATGCTTATGATTCTTAGCCATTAGGGAAATGCAAATTAAAACAAGAAGATACCACTACTCACCTATTAGAATGGCTAAGATTAAAAAGATCAATTCTACTAAGTGTTGGTGAGATGTGGGAGAACTAAAACCCTCATGCACAGCTGTGTGTTTCACTTTAGAAAACATGCGGTTTCTTTGAGAGCCTACACCTATTGTGTGAGCTAATAACTCCCCTCCTGTGTACTTACCAAAAGAAAAGACAGGATATATTCATACAAATACCTGTACACATGTATTTATTGCACCTCTATTTGTAATAAGCAAAAACGAAAGACCCCAAATGTTCTTCAGTAGGTGAATAAATGTTTTTAAAATGTGGTATATCCATACACTACACAGCCACACAAAAAAAAAATGAACTATTGGTGCAGACAACTACATGGACAAATCTCAAAATAATTACGTGGAACGAAAGAAACAAAAAAAGCACACACTTACACTTCTGTTATATAAAATACTAGAAATTGCAAACAAAGGTACAGTGACCAGAAGCATATTAACTTTTGTCTAAAGACGGGGAAAAGAAGCAGTGGGAAAGCTTACAAAAAGGGATTACAAAAAAAGCATAAGGAGACTTTTAGGGATGATAGAAATGTTCATTTTTCTTAATTGTATGATGATTTTACATTATATAATCTCATGGAATTTTATACTGTAAATAAGTACAGTTTATTATATATCAATTATATCTTCATAAAGAATTGTTTTATGAATTATTTTCCCTTCCACACTATCATCACATTGCATTAACTCATATGACTGATTTTACAATTTTGACCAAATAGACCAATTAATGGAATGAAGCACTAATTAAGTGCAAGGCAAAAACTTTACCTCATGAAAGAACATGCAAAGGCATTACTCACATTACTTGAAGAACTAAGAGAAGTACCAGGAAATAATGTGATAACATTGTATAATTTAATATCTTCAAATATGCTGCCAAAAATTCAGAAATCAAAGTGAAGGAGAACCACTAGCGTAGAGGATTCTATGCATGAGGTGAATCTACAGACTTCTACAGAAAGAGAAAAGCTGTACTTTTCTTCTTACATTTTGAAACACATAAAACAAAATAGTCACTTTTTAAAATAAGTGTTAACCATTGAGTTCTCAGGTAAGTTAGAAATGATACACTGCTGGTAGGAGTGTAAATTAATTCAACCATTATGGAAAGTAGTGTGGTGATTCCTCAAAGAGCTGAAAGCAGAACTACCCTTTGACCCAGAGATCCCATAACTGGTTATATTCCTAAAAATATATAAATCATTCTATCATCAAGAGACATGAACTGGCATGTTCATTGCAGTACTATTTGCAATAGCTAAGACACAGAATCAAACTAAATGCCCATCAGTGGTAGACTAAAGAAAATGTGTCGCATATACACCATGGAATACTATGCAGCCACTAAAAAGAATGAGATCTTGTTCTTTGCAGGAACATGGATGGACCTGGAGGCCATTATCCGTTGCTAACCAACACAGGAACAGAGAAACAAACACCACATATTCTCACTTATAAGTAGGAGCTGAATAATGAGAACACGTGGACAGAAAGAGGGGAACAACAGAAACTGGGCCTACTTGAGGGAGGAGGATGGGAGAAAAGAAAGGTTCAGGAAAAGAAACCTATCAGGTACCATGCTTGGTACCCAGGTGACAAAATAATCTGTACACCAAACCCCCAAGTCACATGTTTGCCTAAATAATAAACCTGCATGTGTACTCCTGAACCTAAAGTAGAAGTTAAAGCATTTTTAATGGAATGGTAAAAGCCCGCCTATTCTGCTGTTTAACATTGCCTCATAAATGTTTTTTCACAGTGGTTTTGATTCAGTGTATTGACATGGGTTTTCTCTCTCTTTCCTCTCTGTTTTGATACGCCAGATGTATTGTTAAGATTACTGGAGAAATGGTGTTGTCCTTTCCTGCTGGCATCACCAGACACTTTGCCAACAACCCATCCCCAGCTGCTCTGACTTTTCGGGTGATAAATTTCAGCAGGTTAGAACACGTCCTGCCAAACCCCCAACTTCTCTGCTGGTAAATATGATTTTGCATAAATTTTTCAGAGATAGAAGTGGCTTAGTACTTTGTACTTAGATGAGGGATATCTTATCAAGAGAGTCGCACTGTGGTGAAATTACCACCACTCAGATATATTTGTAGATTCAGACACAGAACTTTTATCAGCTACTAAAATTCATTGTGGGTTATTATGTGTGTACGTGTGACTGCTTATGTATGCATGTATTTTAACGGCCAACTATCTCAAGTGGTTAGAGAGAATCAGAATAAGAAAATCTGTATCGGCAACAGTTAATTCATCGTCTGCTTCACCTATTATCAACAGACAGTGGATGGCGATGGTGGGAAATTAGCCAAATAACAAGAATGAATTCCTTTCATTGTATGAGCATCTTTTTATTTTTATTTTATTTTATTTATTTATTTATTTTGAGATGGAGTCTTGTTCTATTGCCTGGGCTAGAGTGCAGTGGGACCATCTCAGCTCACTGCAACTTCCGCCTCCTGGGTTCAAGTGATTCTCCTGCCTGAGTCTCCCAAGTAGCTGGGATTACAGGTGCCTGCCACCACACCTGGCTAATTTTTGTATTTTTAGTAGAGACGGGGTTTCGCCATGTTGGCAAGGCTGGTCTCAAACTCCTGACCTCAGGTGATCTGCCCAACTTAGCCTCACAAAGTGCTGGAATTACAGCCATGAGCCACTGTGCCTGGCCCTCTTTTTATATCAATTGTGTGTGTTTAATAGTTAGAAAATGTGAAAAATTACATTTATGTAAACATATTTGCATAAGTTTCCTTTATGTCATACATGTAAAGTTCCCTCAAAATAACGGTCATTACAATGAAATCCTATTAACTATTGAATCTGAATTTGATGTCTTTATTATGCATATGCACATGCACAGTAACACAAACCCACATGCATGTATGCTATTAAAGTCATCAATTATGCAACTTAATTATTTGCAGTGAATGAGCAGAAAGGAGTCTTCCTGACAGCTTGTCCATCAAGTCCTGATGTTCATCTACAAACCTCTAAGTGGTCACCTTTTTCTTTACTGCAACCTCCCTTGTCTAAGTGACCACTGCCTTTTCCCTGTACCATCGCAATTGTTTTCTCCTTCTCTCCCTGAATCCAATCTTGCCCTCTCCAGTACATTTTAACAGTCAGGTGGTCTTTTATAAGTAAATCAGGTCATCTTTGTTCACAATTTCCTGGTGGCTTCACATTACACCTGTCCCAGAATCTAAACGTGGGGCCCTGAGAGGTTTACCCTTGTCTACTTCTCTGTTCTCATCTCGCACCATCCTGCCTCAGAATCCTTTTTGCTCCAGCAAGACATGCCAATCTCAGAAACAGGCTGAGTCCTTTCTCACAACAGGGCTTTGTAGTACTTGTTTCACCTGGAATATTATTTCAACCTTCTTCACCTGACTCCAACGCATCCTTTAGTCTCAGCTCTACTCTGCCTCTCGGACTATCCCATTCTCCTCCCCATATTTCCACCAACCAGCCCCAAACTATTAGCTTGGTACAAAAGTAACTGTGGTTTCCAAACACCACATGTTCTCACTCATAGGCAGGTGTTGAACAATGAGAACACATGGGCACAGGGAGGGGAACATCACACACTGGGGTCTCTTCTGGGGTGGGGGGCTAGAAGAGGGACAGCAGAGAGGGGGGCAGGGAGGTTGGAGAGGGATAACACTGGGAGAAATGCCTGATGTAGGTGACGGGGGGATGGAGACAGCAAACCACCATGGCATGTGTGTACCTATGCAACAATCCTGCAAGATCTGTACATGTATCCCAGAACTTAAAGTACAATAAAAAAATTAAAAAGTAATTGTAGTTTCTACCATTACTTTTTTTTTTCTGAGAGAGAGTCTCACCCTGTCACCCAGGCTGGAGTGCTGTGGTGCAATCTCGGCTCACTGCAACCTCTACCTCCTGGGTTCAAGTGATCCTCCTGCATTAGCTCTCCAAGTAGCTGGGATTACAGGCGCCTGCCACTGTGCCCAGGTAGAGACAAGGTTTCACCATGTTGGCCAGGCTGGTCTCTACCTCCTGATCTTAGGTGATCCACCCACCTCGACCTCCCAAAATGCAGGGATTACAGGCTTGAGCCACCATGCCCAGTCTTTACCATTACGTTTAAATGGCAAAAGCCATAATTACTTTTGCACCAATCTGATAAATTCTGTCCCCTTGTTATTCTCTCTAAAGGTACTCTGTTCTTTTCCTTGTAGCACTTACTACAGTTAATAATGACCTATCTATTTGTGTTTCTTCATTCATCCATCTCACCCACAAGACTATGCAAGCCGTGAGGGAATGGAACAGTCTCTTAATTCAAATTATTGCTCCAGTTTCCCTGTGTTTAGGTTGTGCATGTTCAGCCAGTTTATTTTTCAAGGTTTCTCCATCTGAGATTAGGAATTATGTGCCAATATCTTGCCAGTTTGTTTGTAAATATGACTGATGTGATAGTTACAGCTTTTGTTGCATTTTTAGGCAGTTACGTTGCCAAGTTCTTAGGCATATGTGCAAGAGTTATATACATATATTAACATATTGTTCTGATAAATAGAATCAAATATCACTCAAAATGGTTTTATTTAACATAATATTATATAGATCCTTGAATTATTATTTGCAAAAGTAAAAAAATAAACAGAAATAAAATATATTCCATTAATTTGGATCTTGCTAACTCTAAATACTTGATGGCTGTAACGGGGCTGTGATGAGTGACCATTTAGTCATCCACAGCCTCCTTAGTTACGCAGTGCAGCCACTACCACGACCACCACAGCCAGCCCAGTTTTTAAAAGGCATCATTGACCACACATTATTCTAGATGCAGTACGAGCGTTTAGTGTCTATCATCAACCAATTGTTTCCTTGATGTTTACCGAAGAAGACTTCATATGTCACTGTGGCCCCTGGAAACATTTAGGTTTGCAATCCTTATGACAGGGGCCACACTGAAGTTTACGTCTACTTTTTTCTTATGAAAAAAGTTTGCTTGTTACAAAAATATTCAGGAACAATTGTCGTCTCCAGTATGACACTGAAGAACGCTCAAGGCTTCTTGAGGATTTAAGAATTTCATCTCTGTGTAAGCACTTGATTTGCAAGGCATTTTTGAATATTTATTAAAGCAGGTTCTCTAAGAAATTATCACAGACCTATGACAGCCTATTTTTCTATTAAACTCAGCAAATGCATTTCTGTAAAATAGTATTATATAATTGAGGGTTTCCCAATTATTCAAATCTACTTAGTATACATTAATGACATGTTGCTGGATATTAATTCTGAACCTCTGTTTTGGCATAGTGGGAAAGTGTGACCTATACAACCAGTATGGGCTGGGATCAAGCCCTGTTTCTTATTCACTGACCTTAAGCAAATTACTTAATTTCACTGACCCTCTGTTACTCTTATATCCTGTCTGCTTGTGTAGCGACAGCTCTGGGAACTTGGGCAGCTTAGATGCTTTTCAATTTAAAAACCTCGGACAGCCCCTATCAGCATCCCTAGCTCAGCTGACCAGGGGCAAAGTCTTAAGAACCAAGTGTATTTTCCACCCCCTTCTTCCATTCCCAAAGAGCTTTACCTAGTCCTCAATAACCTTCTATCCAGAGACAACAAAACCGCACTGGTCACACTGAGACTTGGGCACCCTTTCCTAATAGACCAGTGACAGTTTTAAGGCCCTAGTGTTTTTTTACTCAACTTTCTTGATTTATGTGACTTCTGGAAGCTGAATCATGGCAACTTACCTTTGACCTGTTTTTTTCACGTTTTCACTGTATCAGCCTTCTCTCTTCTCAACCCTTAATTTTCTCTTTTTATAACAAGTTTTCTCATCTTTAAAAACAAAGACAATAATTCTCTCTTTGCAGGGTAGATTTTAATGAAATAGTTTATAATGCCTAGCATAATTTCTTAAGCACCTATTATATGCTATTGTACTATATAGGATATTCCGAAAGTGAAGTGTCAGCAAATGTGTTGTGTGACAAGTAACTGAATCACTTGGGGCCTCAGCTTCCTCATTATATGAGAAGTTAAGTCAGATATTTGTATACTCTCGCCTGATTCTTTTTTATCATTGAGATGAGCATTTGCAAGGTAGATTTGGTAAGTGGTCTGTATTCAGGCCTCTGAGCAAAGCTAAGACTCTCAGAGGGATATAAAACTTCTTAGCCTATAAAGACTGCACTTTTCTTCTGTATTACAATACCATGATTACTATCATTTAAACTTCAGGGTCATCTTGTAAGTGAAGGGAAATCTTTGATGATTTAGATACTCATGGATGAACTATGTATGCTGAAAAGGTAGACTGGTAATTTTAGTATCACTCTTTTCTGCTTAGTTGGTGACAAAGATCATGTTTACGTTTGGCCAAATATTTCACTGGATAATTTCTGAGGCACTACTACTCAAAGTAATTCAAAAGAAAATAAATGTATTCGGTTTTTTAATTGTATTAACTGACTAATTTAGACAAAACTGGTGCTGTAGAAAGGGCTATGAAGTTTGAGTTAATAAATAATTCACTCTTTAAAGCTCCCAGTTATCACTGTGATTAGTTAATATTACTGGGCACTCACTGAGATTGATAGCAAGACAATAGCTCCTCCCTGTGGATTAATCTACCATCATGATAGCATTCAGAACTGAATTCGTATTAAAACCACACTACTGTTAATAGATTCATAATAATCTATCTCTACAAATCGTCAAAAGATGACTCTAGATACCAGATGACAATTTGCTAAGCTGCTTCTTGTAGGGTTTTGATTTGTTATAAGACGCTACTCAATCATTTTTCTTCCCAAATGAACAGTGATAATACGCAAAATGATGCCAATACCAAGGAATTCTGGGTAAACATGCCAAATTTGATGACTCACCTCAAGAAAGTGTCTGAACAAAAACCCCAGGCTACATATTATAACGTCGACATGCTCAAATATCAGGTATGCCTATTTACATGGTAAGGATTTCTTTCACATGACATTTGTTTTCTAAAGTACCTACTATTGAATAAAAGTAACTAAAGTAACACTTCTTTTAACATTATTTAAAAGGTATAATTCATTTTTTAAATGGAAACTTCAAAGGACAACTTGGGGACTACTGACAAAAAATATTCATGCATATTAGTTTAAGCTTACAAGTAAAATATTTTATCACAAAATTAGAGAAATGTGCCACAAAAAATGAAGTTGCAGAAAATTATACCAATTAAGATTATAAGTTTATACTGATAAACCAGATAATTATAATTTTGTTAAGAATATTACTATACTAAAACCTCTTATTTTAAATGATTCTATGTAAACAATCTGCTTTTGTTTTTCTAGTAAAATAGTCCTATTAAAGAATTCTAATAAAATCTAACATTAAAAAATAGTTCAATAATAAAAGAATATTTGATACATATAGTACAATATATGCAAACTTTGTTTTTATATCTGGGATTGCCTTTACCTCAAATTATTATTGATATAGTAAATAATCCTAATTCCTACCTGGATCCTAAAGTGCCTGAGTCTCTCATTGATTCCCAGCCACTTGACTGCCTATATTTTGGGGGGTTTTTTTGAGACGGAGTCTCACCCTGTCACCCAGGCTAGAGTGCAGTGGCACAATCTCAGCTCACTGTAACATCTGCCTCCCGTGTTCAAGCGATTCTCCTGCCTCAGCCTCCTGAGTAGCTAGGATTGCAGGTGTGCACCATCACACCCAGCTAGTTTTTGTATTTTTAGTAGAGATGGGGTGTCACCATGTTAGCTATGCTGGTCTGGAACTCCTGGCCTCAGGTTATCTTCCCAACTGGGCCTCCCAAAGTGCTGGGATTACAGGCGTGAGCCACCACACCCACCAACTGCCTAGATTTTGTTACATTTTTTTTAATTGACAGGTACAATTGTATGTCTGTATTAGGTACAACATGATATTTTGAATATACATATGTTGTAGAATGACTAAATTCAACTAATTAACATATGCATTACCTCACATAGTTATTTTTGTAATGAGAACACTTTACATTCACTCTCTTTAGCGATTTTTAAGAAAACAGTATATGATTATTAACTGTAGTCAGCATATTACACAATCCATCTCTAGAATTTGTTCCTCCCATCTAACTGAAATTTTGTGTCCTTTGACCAACATCTCCCCAAACAAATCCCCACGCCCACCACTGCCACCACCTCAGCCTCTGGCAACTGCCATTCTACTCTCTAATGCTATAAGATCAACTTTTATTTTTATTTTGTTTTATTTAGTTAGTTATCTGAGACAAAGTCTCACTCTGTTGCCCAAGCTGGAGTGCAGTGGCACAATCTTGCCTTATAGCAACCTCCACCTCCCAGGTTCAAACAATTCTCCTGCCTCAGCCTCCCATTTAGCTGGGATTACAGGCATGCATCACCATGCCTGGCTAATTTTTGTATTTACAGTAGAGATGGGGTTTCGCCATGTTGGCCAGGCTGGTCTCAAACTCCTGGCCTCAGGTGATCCACCCACCTCGGCCTCCCAAAGCGCCACTGTGCCCAGCCAAGATCAATTTTTAAATATTTCACATAAGAGTGAGAGCGTGTGGTATTGGTCTTTCTGTGCCTGGATTATTTCATTTACCTTATTTTTAATGCATTATAATTTTGTATTAAATATGTTCAGATTATTTTTCTTAAAATAAAGAAACTAATACTTTAATAAAAATTAGGGTATCTCAAACTTGGCTGTATTTCTCAATCACCAAGGAATTAAATGCTTGTAATTAAATGCTGGTTCTGAATTGATGCTAAAAAGAAATATATATATGTATATATATATATAGTTAAATATAATATTGATAACATAGATTATATGATTACATTATATAATTATATATAGTATATTATATAATTACATTAGGTGTTATATTGTATGTTATATATAAATATTATATAATATATAATATATCATGTGTTATAAATAAATATATAATGTATATATTATTAAAATAAATATTTATTTAGATTATTTAAAGATAATATGTTATTTATATATATATTTATATATTTATATATGTGTGGTGTTAGGGCCTAGCAGATATATATATATATTAAATATACATATATTTTATTTTATTGGCTTAGAATGCAACCCAGGTATTTGTACTTTATACAAGTTCCTCAAGAGATTTTATGTATCCTATGCTTTGAAATACATTTATTTAAAATGTTGTAAGGAAACCATTTAAAGTAAAATATCTACATAATGGTACATTTTTCAAAAATGCAAAAGAATATAATTTTTTCTTCTGAGAATAGTATCTACTCTTTGAACGTTATGGATAACACTAATATATAATATGGCATAAATTCACTTATAAATTAAAATATAATAGAAAATACATTATATTTAGTTTTTTTCCAAAATATTTAAATATGCTTAGTGAGAAATGAAAGGAAATAAGAGAGGAAAATTCTAAATGGGATTTTTTTCTCTGAATGCGAAGTTAAATTCCAAGGCAGAAGGCAAATTTCATGCATGGTTTGTATCCCCAAAGTGTGGAAATAGGATGGCAGTTCTTCACCTTCGTGGACTCTAATTATATACACTGCATGTACATTTTCACTTCAGATAAAATGTTTGTTTGAAATTTTAAAACCCTGTGGAGTTGTTTTTATTTCTGTGTTTGTTATTAAGTAAATCTAGAAAGTAGATAGAATTCACCTATTGCAGTATGCACTTTGTGTAAAGTGTTAAAATGTAGGCAAGGTCCAGGTGTAGTACTAAAATGTAGGCAAGGTCTGGAATTACACCTGTAATCCTAGCACTGTGGGAGGCTGAGGCAGGAGGATCACTTGAGTCCAGGAGTTTGAGACCAGCTTTGGCAACATAGGGAGACCCCATCTCTATTTTTCTTAATAAATAAATAAAGTGTAAGCAAGATACTGAATTCTAAAATTAAGTCAGCTTTCTACTGGCCACTGACCTTGATTGCTTTATATCCCAGAACCTCAGTTTCCTCATCTAAGGGTAATAATGATATCTACCTATTTTATAGGTTGCTATAAGAAGCTAATAGCTTCAAAGTACTTTATGAAACGTAAACAGCCCTAGACTGGCTGTTTTATTTTAACATGTGCTCTGAAGAATTCATTTGCTGTTGCTTACCTGTCTTTTTGTTGTTGTTTTCAACAATGCAAGGAATTGGGTGGAGAAGCACAACCAGCATTTTGTGGAATTGCCCTTAAATTGCAGCGTGTTTAGTTTCTGGCCCCATAGCATGCCCCCAGAAATTGGAACAATCAAAAACACATTTTCATATACCCAAAAAGCACCTCCCCAGGTAGAGGAAGTATAATCAGGTTGAGAACTACCACTGAGGACAGAGTCCAGAAAATGGGGTGTGGGAGGGAGATTGCTCTGCTTTTGATCCGCTGTAGTTAATTGATTTTTAAATAAATGTTTGTCTGCAGAAAGTATTATGCTGCCAATAATATTTAAAGTTTAAAAACTATAATGGTTAACTAGTTTAAACTGTCATCAAAAGCCATATCTTTCATTTTATAAAAGAATCCATTTTGGGTCTTGTTTCTGCCACGACCACTCCTGCCTTGAAAGTTCAACCTGCCTTCAGGACCCTTCTCCATGGCGACCATATGCACAAGCATTTCCTAGACAGCCGTTTAAATCCTTCAAAATCAGCAAAGCTCATCATACTCCATGAATAAAAATCCCAGGGCATAGATACCACTCATCTGATCCCTGCAGAGATCCCTGCAAGAGAGGTGACTCTTGGAGACTTATTTGCCGCCATAATGAACAATCGAGAAATTGTAACACTGTAAATTTTTCACGGTGGACCCAGAATTCACAACAATATTATTGCCTTTAGATGAATGTTTGTTTTTTTCTTCAAACCCGGTGGGGTTTTTTTTTTTTTTTAATAAGACAAGCTCACAGATTATTCTAATTAGTATTGACAGTAGATTCTTGCATTGTAGCACTTTCAGCTAGAGGAATCCCAAAGGAAGTAAAGGAAGTAAATGCCTTTGGGATTTGCCACAGTAAGGACTTGAAACCAGGTGTAAAATTCCAAGGGAGTAATAATAACCTACCCTAGTCTAGCTCATTGGTTTGTTGTTGAAGAGCAAATATGGTAAGAATATTAAAAGTAACACTTACCAAAATGTAATTCCTTAGTGTGTGCCGGGCATCCTGCTGAGTGTTTCACAAAAAAACATCTCCTTCAATCTTCCTGACAACCCCGTGGGTAAATATTATTGTTCTAATTCCCATTTAGCAAATGAGGAAAGAACAGAAGCTCAGAGAGGTTTAGGAACTTGTCCAAGATCACTTAGCTTGTAAGTGGAATGGCAGAATCAGAACTCACACTCGCAACTGTCTAGCTTCTCGGCCTTAGCTCCTGGCCGGCCTGCTAGTCCACCTCCTTAACTGACATGAAGTGTATTGGAAACTCCAAAGTGCTACAGAGACTCTCATAGCTGCTTTCGTGTTTTTAGTCTGTAATGGTTTACCTGAAGCACCCAGCTCTCTCTCACAGCACCCGTCATGGTGCCTCTCACTCATGGTTGCTTGTGAGCAGCATAAAAAACATTATGACATTTTAATATCTAAGAACATTCCTGTGGGAGAAAATCATAACTTCTGGTCTTGTTTCAGATTATTGGTTGAACCTTTAATATTCTCTTTCCTGTCATTTGGCAAGGTGTCTGCCCAGGGTATTCAGTCCACGCCTCTGAACCTGGCAGTGAATTGGCGATGTGAGCTTGCAAGCACTGACCTGCGCATAGATTACAAATACAACACAGATGCAATGTCGACCGCTGTGGCCCTCAACAATGTGCAGTTCCTGGTCCCCATCGACGGAGGTGTAACCAAGCTCCAGGCAGTGCTCCCACCAGCAGTCTGGTATGAAGCCTTCTATTCTCTCAACTGGGGGGGCTCCTCTGGGTCGACGGATCATGTTTCTTAGCTCTTGTGTTTCCTGTAGGAGGGGTGACAGCAGTCCTGTGTATTGGAGTTCAGGGCAGAAAGTAGAAACCCCTGGTATCTATTTGAAGCAAAAACTAATTCAACAGGGACTTCAATGCTTACATAATGGTGGAAGTGCGAAAGGAATAGGCTGGATCTCTAAACATACCTTCCAGACCTCTGCCAAACTGGCCTGCCACAATCCGGGGACGGAGAGAAATTAGAAGGCTTCCTTTAGAACCACTGAATTCAAGAAGCCAGAGCTGTAACTCTGATCCTAGGACCAGCAAGAACCTATTGGCACCTCCTTAAGTGCTTCTCGGCACCCCCAAACCAGAGGCTAGAGTGGAATCTAGGACCTAATTTGTACCTAGGACCCTAACTGCAAAGGCCTCTGAGAAATGTAGTGTTTCATTTTCTAGCCTCTGAACCATAAAAGCACACTAGAGAAGGCAAGGTTCTAGAAACTGAACAGATTCATTGTGCCTATATCATCTGTTATAAAGGACTTGTTCTAGAAAGAGCATTTCATTTTTTCCATATGACTGTCAGAAGCAAAAAGTAGAATTCGTTTTAAAGATGAATGTCAGCTAGATCATGACCCCAATTTTAATTACCTTAATTAGTTGATTAACTAATACTCTCATTTATCTTCCCATGGATCTGTTTTAGCAGATTATATGAAAAAACTCATTTAACTCTACTTTGTCCTCTAAATATATGTCTCATGGTGTTCTAGCTATTTACAGTAAGGTCAGGGAAAAGAGAGATTTATGTATGTCTGGGAGGGGAGAGAGAGAGAGAGAGAGAGAGAATTTTTAAATTGTAGTTAAACTTTTCAAGATCTAGTTTTTAAAATTAATACTATCCAGAAAAAAAACATGGCATCGGTAAACAAAAACCCTTGCATATGCAAAAACTTTTTACCTAATTTATTTTTAGGAATGCTGAACAACAAAGAATATTGTGGAAGATTCCTGATATCTCTCAGAAGTCAGAAAATGGAGGTAATGAAATCACAAGCTTATTTTATTTAACATGTAAAACTAAAATAGCTTTTAGGTATTTGCCAACTATTACCCAAAACATGTAGCAATAAAAACAAACAGAATATTTCACTCCATTTTTGCATTTTCTTATTTCGATTAATAAAAGCAAAAAATTCTTCAGTGAATTCTCTTTTTCGTTTTCTATAGACTCCATATCAAACAAACTATTGTTCAGGCCTCTTAAGGAGTCATGTTTCCATCTTGTGTCAGATTCCACACTCCCAGATTAGATATTTTTCACTCTCCTCAGATATTAATTATAGGTTGGAAATTACAAGGGCCCCAAGTAGCACATCTTCAAATTTTGAGGTACCATCTAAAGGAAGTAGACTGTTACCAGTGTGCAAATCGAATTGCTCATAATATTCAGTGATAAATTTCATTTAATCACCGTTTTGTCAATAAAGTCTGATTTTGTAGTTCTTTTGAATGCAATGTCCAAAATTACATCCAGAATATTATGTTGACTGTTACCTTGTAATACTTTTTTTTTAGGGGTGGGTTCTTTGTTGGCAAGATTTCAGTTATCAGAAGGCCCAAGCAAACCTTCTCCGTTAGTTGTGCAGTTCACAAGTGAAGGAAGCACCCTTTCTGGCTGTGACATTGAACTTGTTGGAGCAGGGTATCGATTTTCACTCATCAAGAAAAGATTTGCTGCAGGTAAATGAGGATCTTGATTTTTTTCATTTGCAAAAATAATGCTGCCTTGACTACTCTTCCTTAAGAGGAATAGGTTGTGATTTTCTCATCTTTTTCCTCCACCTCTTTCCCACTTTCAACTCCCATCCCAATTAGAAAACAAACCAATTACTGAATGAAATAATAGAAATAGGACAACGAACTAGAAATCCGAAGTCAGGAGGCTCTGACTACTCATCCTAATGCTGTTTCTTACGTGGGGCTAGCCAGTTGTTCCCATTATATAGATGTGTATATTTAGGTTAGTGGAGAAAATCCTACCTTTATTATGTTGACAAATGAGATAAATATTGTTTGCCTTTTTTTTTTCTTTGGAGACAGAGTCTTGCTCTGTCGCCCAGGCTGGAGTGCAGTGGTGCAATCTCGGCTCACTGCAATCTCCCCATCCCGGGTTCAAGCAATTCTCCTGCCTCAGCCTCCCGAGTAGCTGGGACTACTGGTGCATGCCACCATGCTGGCTAATTTTTTGTATTTTAGTAGAGACAGGGTTTCACCATGTTGCCAGGCTGGTCTCCAACTCCTGAGCTCAGGCAATCTGCCCACCTTGGCCTCCCAAAGTGCTAGGATTGCAGGTGTGAGCCATCGTGCCCAGCCTTGCCTTTTAATTTATTTCCCACCTGAAAACTTTTTGTTCTCTAATAAAGCTTCATAGAGTTTAGACTTGTCAGGTTTAGCTGAGATATGGGAGAATCTATTTTTTCACTTTGAGTTATTACAAACTCAAAAGAATCTAGGTCACAGATCAAAACTTGTCACCCAAAAGCTGAATATGGCCATGAGACAGGTTTTATTTAGCACAAAATATGGAGTTTTGTTTTGTTTTTTAATTGGGGGAGAGGAACTCTCCAATATTAGAGTGATTATACTTTTCAGTGATTTGCTGGAATAAATACTGTTTTTTTAATGTTTATTGTACTGGTGTGATTATTGATTATACCCCTTTCACTCTAAAAAATGATCCAAGTTGGAAAATAAGTTATATGAGCACCCTTTCTAAAATAAGTTGGATTCTCACATCCAGAAATAAATCTCCCAATCTATTCTGGGCAAAACCCAAACCTCTGCAAACTGTTGACCTATAGAAATCTGAAAAGGCAACTAGTTGATCTGAAAAATTGAAAATTGATTTGAAACCTTTCTGTATCTTTTATTCGTATTGTACCTCTAATATATGCAGATTCCACTCCTAGGGGCAGGGAAGGAGGAATAGAAATGTTACCCATATAATAATTACATTATTGAACTAACAGGTAACCTGTCAACATGTTGTTTTGTTTTGCAGGAAAATACTTGGCAGATAACTAATAAAATCTCATGAAAGGATTTGGAAGATTCATATAATGGAGAACTGATATATGAGAAACAGGTTTTAATTTGGGTTTAATGAAAACAAACCAATATCTGCACTTGGGATGTAGCAGGTGGAAAGTCAATGACTTTCAGCTGTGATTTCCCTCACACAATACCCTGATGACCAGTCCTACAGTATTTACTTCTAGGTGTAATATTGTTAATGGTTTTAAAATGTAATTATTGTATTTGTAAATTGTACTCTCATTCCAGTAAGGCAGTTAGACACTTGAGTTTTAGCATTTTACCATTCCTGAAATGGATGTAATTTAAACTGTGGTATGTAAATTTAATAGTAGTATTGTTGAATGGCACAATGCTTACAGAGGTAGATTGCATTTTGTCAATATATAAAATTTAAATATAATATTGATAGCTGTCATAAAGGGGGTGCCACATATTAAAGAAACTTAAGTGGAACCAGAACAAAAAGAAACAAACTTACTTTTCTTCAATCCTTACTATGTTTTACTCTAGTGCTAAATATAAATTCTATCTTCAAATGTTTAGTGGGTTAAATTGAGAAACTATTTCAGAAAAAAAATTCTAAGGTTACAGCATATTCAAAAAAAAAAGCATTAGTTACCACTTTTTAAAGAGCTTTTTTTTCAAACTGCAAATTTCATAAAAATGCAAACTGTGTAAACAGGGCCTCTTATTTTTATAACTTGTGTAAAAAGGGAAAGCAATTCATATTTAAAGTTTAAGTATATTAAATTATAATCAAGAGTAAAGAAGATGTTGAAGTCTTAACTACTTGCCCCTCTCTACAGTTTAGCAAATGTGGAGATTGCTGAATAATCAGACGAAAACCAAAATTGTGGTTTTAAGATTTCAAGATTTTCCATAGTTGAACTGGTTAACAACTTTTGCTCAATTACTTTGAATAGATGGTCTAACTCACCCAGTATGGAGGAATGATGTCTTGCATCTTCCTCTTTACCCAAAGGAATCAAAACAGTCAGACTGAGAATTAAAAAAAAAAAAATCCCCTCTTTAAATCCAGAAGGAGAGTTTTATTCATTGTTTATGTCGTTTGAGAATGGAAAAATAAACTTTATAAATGAAATTCTATTCACATTACTGTGTAATAAATTTCCTTTTGGATGATTAGGATTCATTGTATAAAACTAAATCTTTGCCGTTCTCAGAGAATCAAGAGGAGAGTTATCCAAAATGTATGTCATTTCATGGTTGCCAGGTATAATAAAAACTGCAATTATTCAATCTGGTCCCACGATACGAACATTTAGAAAGACGAACTTCTTCAGGAATCTCAGTTGCAAAACCTTCCCTCATTAAGCTCTGAAAATGATAGTCTTCCTTTAAGTCATAGGACTTATTTAAACATAAACCAATTTCTATTATAGGTTATGCTGTTAAATAACTATAATTATTATTATTTTTATAATTAGTTGTTAAATTTCATTTTATATCCACTCAAGTTTAACAAAGAATCTTTAGCCCCTTGAAATTTTAGAATCAAATTAAATTTTTAAAGTCTTACTTCTAAAATGAGATTGTGACTGGCAGTTGTTTATAGTGAAACTTTTTAAATTAATCTTTGTACTCCTCTATGAGCGCTTGCTACCAAGAGAATGTTCAAAATGATTTGTTTTACCTTGGAAACATTCTTACTATTCAACAAACTCTCCGTTGGCTCCCTGAAGCAGTCTGGTGTTGAAGCTTCTTTGAACAAACTAATTAATATACTCCTTTTATGTAAAGGTATCCAATTTGATTTTGAAACCAAAATAGAAAATGCAAGATTTTAAATTCCATGAAACATGGAATTTATGAGGCTAAAACCAATGGAGAGTAAGCAGCAGAAAATTGAGAATTATCCAGTATATGAATATAACAATGTGTTTTTAAGTAATCAATTCATTTTAAAAATTGAATATTAATACAAAGCATATTAAAAATGTGTACATATTACTGGTTCTCATGTCTTTGTATTTGTATTTTATTTTGTTTTATTTTATATAGATCTAGAATGAATTAGTAATTAAACACAGGCTTTTTTCCCCAAAAAAATAATTTTATTGATTTTTTAAAATATAATTAAAAACATAGATTACAGTAATCTCTAACATTATTCAGACGTTTCTAGGGACTAAAGTAGAAACTATGAAGAAATCCTATGATCCCTTAATTGGTGTTTATGAAACAGAATGGGAGTCAGCAATTTCAAAATGATTAAACTTTGAATAACCAGAATCTCAATAGAAAATGTATCCCTTCACCTTTCAGAAAAGAGATCAAATAATAAGCTGGAATCAGGGATTTCCATTTTGACATTTTGTTTTGTTTTGTTAATTTGGTAGGTTCTAATCTCCTGTTAATCTATATCCACAGTACTGTAGAATAAGCATTCGTATCCTGAAAAATGATCCTACGCAATGGAAGAGTCTGTTATTAAAGACATATTAAGTCAGATTCATTTATTCATTTTATTCCCAAGTCAGTATAAAATAAACTACTATGTATTAAAACGACTTTCAGTACTAAGGGTTAAAACAAAAAGAAATGGTTCTAGTTAACCAGAACGCCATTTCCTGAATGTTATAATCTTTAAAAGGTTCTGGTTTAGCAAGATAAAAAGTATGAATGATGCTACTTTATTTTGGCAACATGGAAAGTATGTTTTTCTTTTCCAATAAAATCCATATTTTCATGAAATTTTTAAAAATAAATTTTTATTAATAATTATTCTGAATTTTATCATAATTGAAATTTGTAATTACTAAGAATTAAATTTTTAATCATTTTTAAATCTGTATTCTTCTCTACACCCACAGCCAAAATGAAAATTCACTGCATGGTATTTGGGAATATATTTCACCTGTAGAAGAAAAAATGTCCACAATTCAAAGGGTTTTGAGTTAATAGGAATCCCTCAGTCAAACTACATCATTTTTTTGTTTTATATATTCTTAATCAGCAAAGTGTTGGAGCCATAATCACACATATTTCCATTTCTAAAGCTTGCTTTAGAAAAGCAGATAACTATAATACATTGGCTGTACCACTAACTCCGGCTGTATGATATTGGACAAGTCACTGCCCTTTTCAGTTTCTCATCTTTACCTGAGGAGTTGGGATTGCCAGTGGTTTTCAAACTTTTCTTAACAGCAGGACTTTTTTTCTAATAAAATTGTACATGGAATCCTGGTAGTCAAAACAGCTCAAAGCAAAGCAGGAGTTTCTCCAACAGTTTAAATCTGGGTTCCTGAGAGCATGGTTTAAACACCATAACAACACACAATGATCTATCAAGTGTCTTCCAATTCTGAAGTTCCACAATTCTAATTTACACAGAGAAACCACATTTTGAGCCTTTATAAGCAAACTTGTAAACTGATATACAATGAAAATTGACAGAGAGCTTACTGTGTACCAGTCACTACAGATATTAGCTCATTTAATCCTCTTATCAATCAAAAAATTGTAAGTACTCTTTTTAATTCTTGTTTTACAAGTGATGACAATTGAGGGTTAAACAGAATAATTAATTTCCCCAAAATGACACTGCAGCTGGAAGTAACCCAGTTATTCTCACTGCAAAGGAAATGCCTTATTTGCTTTGTCTATCCTAAACAAACAAAAAAAATCTGTCTTATGTCACTATACATACTCCATTTGAATGCCAAGAGAGAAGGCACCATGAAAAAACATTACCAAAATAAGGATAATTCCAATAACTAAGTTGTCAAAAAAGAATCAATGCTTCTCAAAGTATGATTTGTACCATCATTTATTAATGATTTTGGTTTGGTCACCACTATATCCTTAGAGCCTAGAATATTTTAGGCATTTATCATCATGTGGGGTTAAGTTATACACAGTAAGCATCGATACATTTGTATTGAAGGCATAAACTTCTAGGGATGGGACTTGGGATTATACATTTTGATAAGTGCCCCAAATTTGAGAATCACTGTAGATCTCTAAGGTCCTTCTTAGTTCTGACATTATATCAGATTTTAAGCATTAAATTCTAAGATGAAAACCATTTTTCTAGTCAGTTGTTCATTTAGTCCACTTAATTTCCTCTAATCTTTCCCTAGGAAAATCCCTATCTTTTTCTTAAAGTTATTCTGTTAAACTATCTCAGTCTCAAAGTAGCTTGAAATGCATTTTCTCATTTTCATATTTCTGTCCTTTGCTTCAGTGTCTTAAAAGACTTGAAGTAGTAGGGAGGTTGCAAGCTGTTATTTATTCAAATTCAAAGTCTTAATAAATGTTTCCTTCTTTGCAAGGGACATTCAGATCTCTAACTTGTGAGTTGAATCTGTTTATTTTATAAGCTTTGACTTTACAAACATGTAGTAGCCTCATTCTAAAAGAGTTACATCAATATTTTTTCTCAAAATAACCACAGGCTACAAAATAAATTGAATGATACAGCAAAATATGCAGATACTTACTAAACAGATGAGAGAGAGAGAGAGAGACAGAGAGAGAGTGTGTGTGTGTGTGTGTGTGTGTGTGTGTGTGTGTCAGCTTTTCCTTTTCCAAAAGATTATACATTTGAGCAAAATCCCATTTAGTCTAAATGTACTCATTTTGCCACATGGTCTTCTGATCAGCAATTTTTTTTGATGGAAGCATGATAATTATACTTAATAATACCAAAACAAGAGTGGTCTCTAAATGTAGCTTTGAAAGTTAATATAAGTAAATATGATCTGTCCATGCAATGAGTCTAATTAAATTGTTGATATGAATAAACAAATCAATCCAAGTTACATTGATTAAAGGGACTGTTCTGATGACCCACCTCCCTACCTTTTATTGTGTGCACTTTCCTCTTAAGGCTTTATTTTATTTTCCCTGCTCCTTTAGGCTTTTTTTTCCACATGGCAAACAGTATCTAAATGCCATTCTCTCACTTGCGAATTCAATAGAATTAAACATGGCTACCATTACCTTACTTTTTGTCAGTGGAGTGTATGGAAGGAAGATGAGATAGGAGTACATTGCTTAAGTCTCTAAATATTAAAAACAAACAGCAACAAAACACTTGCCTTTCTCTTGTGTTACTGCTTCAATGTTCTGTCAACATCCATCAAGCTGGAGTTGCATTGTTGTCATTTAATTAAGATCTAAATATCTGTCGTGACGGCATGTCAAATGTAGAGTCTGTTGAGTTGACCGTGGCAAACCTCTTGATTGGCCCTCACGTTTAATATCTGATTTCTATCCTAAGTGGGTATGTCTATGAGGAAAAGACACCCATTTGTTGACATTGACCACAGATATAATAATTTATTCTCTAGGTTTAACTTCTAAAATTATTTGTCCTCTGATTTTTGCCTCCTTCCATCCTTAGAGTAATAACTTGCCTGTCTTAAATACATCTTTATCCTTGTAAAAAAAAGTTTTCATGAAAAGTATATTTTTAAATGTCCCATAATGTTTTAAAGAAAAGAAGTAAAGTGTATTTGGGCTATATTCACCAATATTCTGGTATTTTACAAATCATGTTCTGGCAGATGTTCACTGTGGTCTGAGAAAAAATGGTCCTGTGCTATAATTCTCTCTACTTGGACATTAACAATAAATGTTAGTGTTTTAATGACACTTAAGAAAGTTATTGAATCAGGTAAAAACTTTTTTTTTCTAAACACACCTGGAAAAAACCTTTGGAAAAGTTTTCTTTTAACACTAGTTTATATATCCTTCAATAGTTGCAAATAAAATAACGAGGAATGCTTGAAAAAATGCTTCTGGAATTTTGTTTTAATTTTAAGGGAATTCCTGCTATTTCAAATGAATTGTTACCTATTTTAAATTTCATTAGTATCTTTTAGTGAATTTAACTTAATCCTCTAAAATATTCAAAACAAGACAATAAAATTATTTTAATTGTTTTAGTATTATTTTTAAGGCTTGCACCTATGACCAGAATATCGGACCCCTATCTATTGAAGAGGTTTCCAATTCTTTGCAGTGTGGAATTAATGCTAGTGAATCATCTCCAGTAATGTTTTACTAAACAGCTTTAGCAAACTGAATCATGATAGATCAATGTTGACAGCATTTTTACATAAACTTGTCAGAAATTATATTAAAAACATTTTGGTGAAAGCTAAGAGCAGTGCAATCTTTAGCACAGATTTTGCAAGATTCTATACTCTTTTAATAAGCATTTCACTGTTTTATTTTGTTTTGCTTTGCTTTGCTTTACTTTGCCAATCAGTTGCTTTTATACCAAATCAACAATATTTCTTTAAAAACTTCCTGGGTAAATTGTTATCATATAGAAAAAAATCAAACTGAATCTCTTTATATTTATCTAAAGAATAGTTCAGTTTTTAATCCATCCAGAGTTTATGAATCAGCCTGATAGCTCATAAGCCACTTATAATTTATAAATTTTAAATGTTTCATTTAATGAGTATATCATGCAAATGTTAATTTCATCTCACTCATTCAGTTTTATATTATTTTGATGACTTTTTTTCTGGCAAAGTAAATGCTTGATGTTATTCATACACCATCACTTTAAGGTTTTTTAAATAATCCAACGAGTAACTATGACAAGGACTACTGTCCCAAGATCCAAAGTTAGACTTTTTTTCTTTAAGTTGCTAGAATGATAATTCATATAGCTGTGTTGATTTGTCAGGTCAGAATTTAGTTCTTGCTTTGTTAAATGAACATACATGAAAGAGATTGACTCCTATCTAATTCATATTCTCTCTGTCTCTCTCTCTCTCTCTCTCTCTCTCTCTCTCTGTCTCCCCTCTTTGTCTAAGGGAATTGGAAAATTGCTGCTGAACAATTTTTCTTGAAAAAGCCAAGTGTTGATATGATGATACGTTAATCTTATCTATGAACAGAGCTTCACTGCAGGCCATGCAGTAATGTATAAAGCTGGCTTTTTAAGCCATTTCAAAACTATTGTTTTCAATTAAAGAGAATTCTTGTTTGTTTTTCACTTGTATAGTCAAAGATCATATGAATTAAATGCTCAGATATTAATTTTCATTCCTACTAGTGGCAATGTAAGGCATTGACTTTTTTTTAACTTGAACGATAAGAGAAACTAGAAATCTCAGAGATTTTGCTGTGTTTCTACAGATAATGAAATTCTGTTAATTAAGGAAAATACTGTGTGTAGTTTGATTTGGTGGCAGCCTTTATTTAGAGTTCTCTTTGATCTATCATTAGAATCTCAATGATCTAGATTGATCTATTAGCAAAAATAGACTAAATTTCTTTATAATCTTGTAATGACTACATAATTTCACAAAATTCTTTGGACATAAAATATTTATGAAAGGAATTGTGAATGAAAATACTCAAGATACTTTTAAAATTTAGTGAAAATGTTGATTCCCGGCCTTTTTCCTACACGTATATTTCAAAAGAGTACACTGTATTCTGATAGCCATCAGTGCTTAGTCTGTGATGGAATCCTTACTGCTTCTATGCTGTGCTCAAGAGAAACCCAGCAGTGGAAGCAAAGGCTTGCACTTTCCCAGAATTGCAGCAAAGCTCTCTGCTGAACAATGCTGACAGGAAAGTGTGAATTAACTTGTTGAAGATAATCATGAGACCATCTTAACATTACTTGTCTTATAAGTTAGAAATCGTATGGATATCACCTTTTGTAAATAATAATTTTTATAAATGTTTTTGCGCATAATTTTCCCAATCACCTATTTCACAAAATCCTGAATATGCAATTATTTATTATGACACATTACTGCAACGAGGGCTCCCATTCCAGAACAAAGTTTAATTCTACATGTACGTTGTTACTGAAATGTGATTTCTTTTTCTGGAAAACGAAAAATATAAAAATAAATGAATTGTGAATCTCTTTTACTGTCAGTCTCTTAAACTTTATCTGCATTTCTGGAAAACTTCATTCCATGTCTAGGGTAGGGATGATGGGCGGAAGGTCTGGCAAAGGTCAAAAGTTAGAGTCAGACAAATCTCAGCTCTGTGATTTAACTATCGACCTGAGCGTGTTACTCAATGATTCTCCATTTCCTTTTCTTAAAAAAAAAAAAAAAAAAAATAGAGTAATGTCCCCTATGTCATAGTCACTGAACAGATTCAATGAGATAATGTTTATCAATCACCTAGCAGTTCCTACCTAGTTCATGGTAGACATTCAATCAACAATCCTTTCTTGTTCTTACCTTTCTGTGAGTAGGGATTGTGGGCTAGAAAACTGTATTGCTCTTCTTCCAATACTATCCTAACACTATGCTCTACCGGAATCCCAGTGTGTTACTTTCAGCTAGTGCTAATGACAGCAGGACACTCATCAAGAACCACGACCTCGGCTAAGTGCTTGGAGGCATCTTGTTCGGCTTCCAAGGATTGCCGACTACAGGAGGGTCCCTAGAGTGTTTCTTTTGTTTGCTTTTGGTTTGGGGAGGCCCAATGAGGTTAGGCTGGGGATAGTCGCTAAGGAAGAGGAAAGGCCCATTTATATCGGCTGGTAGGTCCTCAACCCCAAACAGCATCCATTTCAAAGATTCTTAGGCATGAATAGGCTCTGAAAAGTCGTGTTAAGGAAAGTGAAGGAACCCAGCCCCGTTTGTAATATATTGATTGGAGTTAAGACCATGAGTTTCAGGGGCCCTGGCCATATATATTTTTTAACATTTTAGAATCTCAATTTTCCAAATCATTTAAAAAGAGAACATTCCTTTCTCGACAGAGTTGTTGGGACTACTGAATCCCAATGTTTGTCAGTATTTGGGGTATCTGGCCAATGTAAGCGTTCAATTACCTCCATTACCCACAGTCTGTACCTTGGAGGGGGAACCTGGAAAGCAGCGTTAGGGGTCGGGGAAAGGGCAGGCGCTGCTTTACTTTGCCTTTGCGCCTCGAATTAACCGCAGCATTTCCCGCTCCTGCCCCTAACGTCTGCAGGGAAAGGAACTTGACGAGGCGCCCTCGTGGTGCAAATGCCTTTAGTCCCAAATGTCCTCCTCGCTACAGAATGAACCAGTTCCCCTCCAGCTCGCCGCCACCCCAGGACGCAGGCGCGGCTCAGGGCGACCCCCTCTGGGCAGTGAAGATGAGATACTCTACATCCTTAGAGCAGCTCAGAGGGCCACTCAGAGGCCAAGTCCGGCCGGGGCGGGCCCAGGGCGCTGTTTGAGGTCACCCTGGAGACTGGCCGCAGAGTTCAGGGGGAGTGTGCTGGCGGCCGCAGGCTGAGTCAAGCCTGGGAAGCGGAGCCCCGCCGCGCGCAGCGTCCGCAGTGAACTAACCCGAGGTCTGGGAGGCTCCCGGCGAACCATCCCTGCGGCAGGTAAGGTCGCCCTCTCGGCAGCGCGTCTGGACCCCGACGGGAGGACAGGGGGCAAGGGAGTGGCCCTTTGTTGAGAAATGGCAAGACTTGGTCCCGATCTCTCCGCCACTTTATTCCTCCTCTTCCCAACAAATAAGAAAAAATGGCCCCAAATTTGGGATCTGAAAGTAGGTCCCAGCTGTTCGCCCCCTGCCCCATTGCATGGCTGGGCTTCAAGAGTGATGGCCAACGCAGAGCCGGCCAGCAGGGTCATCCCCCAGCCCTGGGCAGTCTTCCTGTGGCGGGTCGCACCCATGAGGACCTCCTGGTCCCAACCCTGACCTTTCTTGGGGAGGGAGTGGCCTGCAGGGCAGCTTTGGAAACAGCTGAGGCTGAGATGGATCTATGGGGCTTTGCAGCGAATCCTGAATGATCAGTCAGGCTGTGTGTCTTTCCACACTCATAGACACACTCACTCTCAGACACACAAACGCACACTCATACACACGGGCACCTGCACACAGAGATGCTCACTCACAGGTACACACTCAAGGATGCTCGCACTGACGTGCACACTCACTCCACGCTGCCCTCCTCACCCACACACAGTATCTCCACTCCCTCACTGATGCCACTGGGTTTTAGGGTATGTTCTTGTCTGCCCTATTCACTCATCCGCCAACTCCTTGAAGGTGATTCTCTTTTATGTTTATGCTTTGGTGTCTAGCACAGTATTTTCTTTTTGGGGCTCTCACATTTACAGATTATGAAATAATTTAAATTAATACCTAAATTTGTAGGTAGGCAGGGGGTTTGAGTTATAATCTAAGTTCTGGGAAGTCCACTGCTACTACCAGCTTTTTGTCAAGTATTAGTAGGAAAGAGGAAATTTTCCAATAAATTATTTATTTAAAAATTAAGTTCTATTTGCTTCTTACAAAGTATGTAACTGTTGCTCAAGAAAAAAAACAAAAAATCTTTTGGAAAGACGGTTAATTTTAATATTTGTTTATTTTTTTCTAGCCCACTACCCCTAATTTTAATTTTTAAAGTCATGGCAGGTCAGGGACAGTGGTCTATGCCTTTATTCCACCATTTTGGGAGGAGGCCAAGGCAGGAGGATCACTTAAGGCCAGGAGATTAAGACCAACCTGGGCAACATAGCAAGAGCTTGTCTCTACAAAAATTTTTAAAAATTAGCCAGACATGGTGGTGCAGGCCTGTAGGCCTAGATACTAGAGAGGCTAAGGTGGGTGGACCTCATGAGCCCAGGAGTTTGAAGTTACAGTGAGCTATGATCATGCCATTGCACTCCAGCCTGGGTAACAAGAGCTAGATCCTGTCTCTAAAACAGTAAAACAGGCCAGGCAGAGTGGCTCACGCCTGTAATCTCACCACTTTGGGAAGCTGAAGTAGGATTGCTTGGGCCCAGGAGTTCAAGACCAGCCTGGGCAACACAGACCCTATCTCTACAAAAAATTAAAAATTGGCCCATCATGGTGGCATACACCTGTAGTCCCAGCCACTCAGGGGGCTGAGTTGGAAGGATCACTTGAGCCCAGGTGTTTGGGGCTGTAGTGAGCTGTGATCATGCCACTGCACTCCAACCTGGGTAACAGAAGAAGATCCTGTCTCAAAAATAAAATGTAACACTGACAGCAAATATTAATTAGCAAACTTGTATCACAATTAAATTTGGGGGCAATATAAATATTGGTTTCTTATGTAGCATAGTATCTTTCTTCTATACAAGTGTATCTTTCTTCAATGACCTCCCTCTTCATTAGTTAAGCATTTTTGCTATAGTTTAATATCTGCTTATGTAAAGTAAGTATATTATTGCATAAATAAACATTTTCAGAGTTGTCATAGTTCCAGTTTTACTGATCAGAACTACAGTGAATACTATATATTGCTCTTTTTTTTTTTTTTAATTTTTTATTGGATTATAGGTTTTGGGGTACATGAGCAGAGCATGCAAGACAGTTGCGTAGGTACACACATGGCAGTGTGCTTTGCTTTTCTTCTCCCCTTCACCCACATTTGGCATTTCTCCCCAGGCTATCCCTCCCCACCTCCCCCTCCCACTGGCCCTCCCCTTTCCCCCCAATAGACCCCAGTGTTTAGTACTCCCCTTTCTGTGTCCATGTGTTCTCATTTTTCATCACCCACCTATGAGTGAGAATATGCGGTGTTTCATTTTCTGTTCTTGTGTCAGTATATTGCTCTTGAGGAAACCCCACTTCCCCGTTCAAAAATGGTAGAAAAATAATCTGTGTACTTTGGGATTAGTCTCTGTTATACTAACAAAAATGTTTCTAGGTATTTCTTTTGCATTTTACAAAAGTCTTCTTCCATAGGTTATGATGATGTCAGACAATGCTAAAGACAGAGCAGCTCGCTCATGGAAGAAAAGAGGGAGTGTTTCTTCTTTTAGTAATCATGAATTTCGGCGAAAGGAACTTCATGGGCACATCAAAGAGTGAGTGACTGTCTAAAACTGTAAATTCATTTATTGAATAAATAGGTTCATAACATTAGAGAAAAAACTCTTCCTCAGGGACATAAAAAGAGATAAAGTGGCAAGTACAAGGTTCAGGTCATCTTTAGAGGCCATATTTAAAAAGAAAGAGAAGGGGAGAAAGCTTAAGTGATATGTTAATCCTAGCAGCGTTTTTGCTATTTCAAAGATTAGCCCAAAAAACCTCCTACTCAAAAGAAACGCCATATGGAACGTAAACCAGCCACAGTTATATGTCTTTAAAGTTCTTCTCAATATTTTATAACATAAGTTTTACATTTTTGTAATTAATAAATACATATACAACATACTTAACATTATATGATTTCATCATGTATTTTCAGAGTTTTTTCTATATCCTCTTAAATGCATAATATTTTGTCAATTTATGATTCTGGGTTGCTTAATCATTTTCTAATTATTGCACATTTTAAGTTTGTTTCCATTTTTTTTTCTTTTCACTATATAATATGCCTCTGTTTGGTCATTTCCCAGAAGAATAATTAGTGGGTCAAAGGGTAATAAGTACTTTTTTTTAGCTCTTGCTACATATTGCATCTTTTCTCCTAAAGACATACATCAGTTTTTTAATATTTTCATGGCATTTCCTTTTGACTGCTGTTGGGAAGAAAACAAAGCAAATTATCGATGTAGCAGTCCATTAATAATAGATTTTCATTCTTGGTTTCTATAGCATTGGAGGATGTAGTATAGTGAGTATATATTGGGAGGCAGGAGCTGGGGTCTGCAGAACAGAGACTAGAAGAACTGGAAGAATTAGAATTCTGAAACTAAAATCTTTCTGTTCTCAGAGTGTATTAATGCCTACTTTCAACTCCACTTTCCAGCCCTGGAAGTTTGTGGATTACACATGCAATGTCTTTTACAGATGGGAAACTGGCTATAAAGGAGTAGCAATCCCAGCACAAGTCAGAAAGAAGTAAAGGTGGGAGAATAATTAACCTTTGTAACTTTTGCTTCTAAGCTCTTCTGGCTGCTATTTCCAATAGTTAAGTGCACGGGTTATTTTTTAAATTATTTAAAACTA